GCTGATGCCAGGGATAATCAGGTGGGGGCGGTGCTGGAAGAAATCATTGATTATTTTGCCCTTCATCCTGGTTTTCGTGTTCGATTCGTAGGTCGGCGTAGTAATAGGGTAGCCCACTTGGTGGCTAGAAAGGCCCTCTCATTGTACCCGACTAGGAGTCGTGTTTTTGATTTTCAGACCTGGCTGTCGTCCAGGATGTAACTATCTCTTTGGTTTGATAAATATATGATTATCTTTTGTCAAAAAAAAAAAAAAAAGTTAGCCCGCTAAAAGATTAATAAGAAAACGGACAGTAAACAAACAACTGGCAGGAGATAGGGTCAGTAACCACTTGGTTACTGACAAGTCAGTAATAAATAGTGACCGTAGATCTAGGAGGCAGGCAATCGTGTGGTTGGGCCGGACGCTAAGTGGAGAAGGGTATTTTTGTCTGTTTATACATTAAATTCTTTATTTTATTTTATTTCGTATTAAATGGCTGCATTTTCAAAGAAGGAAAGAGAAACCATTCTCTGCAACTCTCATTTATCTTTCTCTTCCTTCTTCTCTCCCAATCTCTTTTCCAGATCCTCTCTCTTCCTTTTTTTCTCTCAATCTCCTTTTGAGATCTAAATCTGCTCCCTTCTCTTCTTATTTTTTTTTCTTTCTCCAGGACGAATAAAAATTGCAGCCTCTCTCTTTCATTGCATTTCTTCTCTTCATCATCTCGTTTGTCTCAATTTCGATCTTTCTCATTTTTCGGCATTTTGGTGTTCTTGATTGCGAAAGAGGAAATGAGAGGCGACAGAAGACGATTTTTTTTCTCTACCTCCTTCTGTTTTTTTTTCTTTTAGATAATATATATTGATATTATAACTCTATACCATATGGTATTCGGTGGTAACGAAATATATATTGATATTACCACACTATACCATATGGTAATGTATGGTATTGTGTGGTAACGAATTATATATTGATATTACCACACTATACCATATGGTATTGTATGATATTGTGTGATATTACCACACTATACCATATGGTATTATGTGGTAACGAAATATATATTGATATTACCACACTATACCACATGGTATTGGGTGGTAACGAAATATATATTGATATTACCACACTATACCATATGGTATTCGGTGGTAACGAAATATATATATTGATATTACCACACTATACCATATGGTATTGGGTGGTAACTGGTAACGTAATATATATTGATGTGGCAAATTTTTTCATACCATATGGTATGATCTTATTTAATACCAGTCAATACCATATGGTATAGACTGGTAATAACTGGCAAATTTTTTTATGTCCAAAAAATATCAAAGTGGATATCATTTTGAAGAGCACAATTAATCTGATCTAACTGTGCAAAAAAAAAAAAAATTAAATTCCGGCTTAAAACGAGTGAGAAATCGTCTGTTAAAGATTAAGAGAAGGAAAATTAAAAGTTTTTCGAGGAGAGAGGAGGCGCTGATGTAGTCTGGTCAAAAGTCAGGGTTGGCAATAAATAGGGGCAGGGGCAATTTTACTTTACTGTCCTTTCACATTGAATTTAAATAAAAAAAGGGATTGACACGTGGAGACAAGGGAAGGAGTTACTGATGCGTTACCGACCCATCAATTACTGACCTGATCTGGTCCCCAAACAACTAAATGGCCCAAGCCATAATATTGATCCAGGAGAACGTTGGGACGAAAAAACCAACTTGGAACGAATCAATTGGTAGAAATGTCAAATGTAGGGTTTTCAAATGGTTAATGGTAATCCTCAAATCAATTAAGTCTAAATTTTAGCAGTTATGGTGTACAATATATTAATCAAACTGATCAAAATAACGAAATTATAATTTAATTGATTTGGTTAATTGATTAATAGTGATAATAAATAGAAAATAACATTATCATTATATGAGAAAAACTCATATTAATGTATTCATTTATAATATATAAAATGAAAAAGCCATGACATTCAAATCATATGTAACTCTTAACATAAATACATATAGTGTTGAGACAAGTGATTAGTATTTCCACATTCCGCCTTCCTTCCCCTGGCCATAACATATCAGCCACTTTTGGGTCACTTCCTTCCCGAATCACCTGAGAATAGCAGGGGGAGCATACAACCTCGGGACCTAGCTGGAATTTTAAATGGGTGCAGATTGACCGTTCCCAATCTGCCAACGTATTCCCTGCTGAAGCAAGAGACGCCCATAAAGTATACTCTGCCAGCCCCATGAAGGATGGAACCGCACCGTTGTTGTGAGAAAGAATCTTGTTGGGAAATATTTTCAGTTATAGACCTGAACCAAGAGCGATTGAGATTCGTTAAGGATTCGCCACCCAATTTTGGTGAGAAGTGCCTGATTAAAGTCCTCGAACCTATGAAAACCCATCTCCCCCCCCCCCTCATGCTTGCTCCTACACATATTACGCCAGGACATCCATTGAATATGTGACCTTCCCCCCTTAAACCCCCCACAATAACCTCGTGGTTGTTTATCCAAGAGATGACAAAGGGATAACGGGAGCTTGAAATACGACATCACGTGGAGGGGGAGTGAGCACACAACTGACTTGATCAACGTCTCTTTTGCTGCCCAAGTTAACGTTCTCTGCTTCCATCCTTGCAGTCGTTGAATCAATTTTTCATCCAGGAACCAGAACGTCGCCATCTTAGACTGAGCGATAAGGGTCGGAGGCCCAAGTATTTATCTTCAACCCCCAGCGCCCCTACCCAAGATCCGAGCTCTTGCACTAGCTATGGAATCCACCAATAGCTAAAACAATAAACCATAAGCACGCATGCTCCATGGGAAAAACACCTCAGTGTAAAATTCTTATTCAACAAAGTATAATCTCCTAAATTCGTGTTTACATTAAATAGGTCTGGAATAAAAACTAAAGAAAACACCGAAAAAGGAAAATCCAAACAACAGATCCGATCCCTGGTCGTGCAATCTCTAATAAGGGATTTAATTTCAAGCGACCGGGGGCATCTATGCTTCCGTTCCTCTGTCTAACTGGGAGATCCCCGATCGGGGAATTGGATCCCTCATGGTCGGGGGAAATCACATCACAAAGGGTTTCAAAAACCAAACAACTAACGCCTACATCAAGTTTTTTATGCTAATGTATCCATGGTCGTAGTTTGGCGCTCTCGCCGAATCTTCATAAGTGTAGGAGTTCCATAACTTAGATTTTGGGTTAAAGACACATTTGGTCACTGAGATTACTAAATCGGGACATGTTTAGTCACTAGAAAAAGTTAATATCAAATTTGATCACTATAATTACTAAAATGGGACACATTTAGTCACTCGCCATTAGTTGCCGCCCAACTCCATTAAAAGACTCGGTTATGTGCTGACGTGGCTAACGTGAGCGCCTAGTCAGCGCCTTTTTGGGCCGAAAATGGTCAAACCTGACCCGCCACGTCACTAAACCAGCCATATCATAACCCCAACCCAACCCGACCCTGAACCAAACCCGACCCACTTAACAAAATAAATCTGCCATCTCTCTCCTCCTATTAGATCAACATGAGGATTGTGCAGTCTCCCCCAGCAGCCGGCAACATCGGTGCCAACCTGCTCTCGCGTCCAACACTTGCTCTACATCCTCCACGAGCTCTCCTCCAATCCCAGAAGCGCCAACCACCGCCGTCGACCTCCGATTCCTCACCCACCACTTAACCTCTGCTTCTCCCCCGCTACCACCATGAAAACCAACCAGATCCGAGAAACCCCATTCTCGATCGGACCTCCGATCCCTCACCCACCACTTATCCCGTACTTCTCTCCTGCTGCCGCCATGGAAACCAACCAGATCCGAGAAACCCCATTCTTGATCGAACCTCTGATCCCTCACCCATCACTTATCCCCTGATTTCTTGAAAACCCTAATCTCGACGAGATAACAGAGTTCTTGAAAACCCATTAACGTAGTCATACTCCTCCTCGTCCAACCCGCAATTGAAGTTGAGGACGTAGCTCTCGACGTTGTAATTGAACTTCTGAAACCTCCATCAATTGAACTTCTGCTGCTGGTTTTCGCCTTCCCCTGTTTTCACTCCTCCCCTGTTTTGTATAAGAAGGTAATTGTTGCTTTCGTCGTTGGCGATTTTGTTCCCCCATCCAGAGAATAAGGAACGAGAGATGGAAGCTTGTGAGAGGTAGAGGTGGGGAGATGAGGAACGAGAGGAAGGAGAAGCGAGGCAGGTTTGCTTTTGTTAAGTGGGTCGGGTTGGGGTTATGATATGACGGGTTTAGTGACGTGGCGGGTCGGATTTGACCATTTCCGACCCAAAAAGGCGTTGACTAGGCGCCCACGTTAGCCACGTCAGCGCATAACAGAGTCTTTTAACGGAGTTGGACGGCAACTAACGACGAGTGACTAAATGTGTCCCGTTTTAGTAATTATAGTGAAAAAATTTGATATTAACTTTTTCTAGTGACTAAATATGTCCCGATTTAGTAAACTCAGTGATCAAATGTGTCTTTAACCCCTTAGATTTTGTTCTCAAAAACCATCAATCAAACAACCTTGTTCAAACTTTGTTTGAAAAGGTGAGAGTCATAACTTAGTAATCGTTGTCCAAAAACGTTAAGACGCATTTAATTCAATTCAACACAAGTTTTCCTACAGCAAAACAAGATTAACATTACTCAAATGCAAACTGGATGACATCACTACCCCGGCATGGAATGGAAGCATTCCTTATGCAGAAAGAGTCAATGTAAGCACTGCATTGCTGGTTCTTTAATACATGTGAGTCCTTGAAGCATATCTCTTCTCTTCACACGCTTTCTAGCCTGAAGAGATGCGATGCACAGCTCAACTGTTAAAAGACATATGGAACACTCACACTCTTCCCAAGCGTCTCCATCAGCATTACAACCTTCCTTGCAAAACACTCCCTGCAAAAGACATAATAATAATTGTCAAGCAAATACTGTCTGCTGCTTCCTTAGCTTCCATAAGCCAGCAAGGAATCCCCACTTTAGAAGGCCACAAAAGCAAAATGATCCACAACCCTAACTCGTACTAGCGTGAGCGTGACCCTTTCTCGGCACCCACTATATATTCAGAAGAAAGTGTAATGATTTCCACTCCATAATAATCAGTGTCTCCCACCTCAATTTCACAACTAAACTCATGAACCACCCTTTTCTTTCTTTTACCTAAACATCATGAACCCCTTTTCAATTTCATATATAATAAAAATAATAATGTACAAACGAAAACCAAAACTAAAAATCCTCAGATATTTGGTTGCAGCTGAAGCTTCCTACTTTGAGTGGGGCAGAATCCAACAAGGCAATGAATGAGAAACATAAAGAATACAAAGAAAGCAATCAAAGATTTTCTAAACCACCCTTGGATGGATAATGGTGGACCAACAGAATCATCACATTACAATTTGCAACCCACTCCACTTCCCCCCTCCATCTTTATGTGTGTTGCTGATAACAAAGTGACTTTTAGTTGTTGTGGAATCAGTATAAACTTCTCCTCATGATCTCATGAGTTCTCGGCACTTGCAGAGACGACTCTGAAAGACCGTGCCTTCTCTTGCTCCCCACTCCGCCTCCAGAACGCCCGTCTCCACCAAATCTCGAACCCTCTCTGAATGTTGGGACAATCCTCGCCTGAGTTCAAGAACCGATCAAACCATGCGAGCAAAATGTCTTGCTGCCAGGAGAGGGGCAGGGTAAGAATGGTGTTGCTGAGACCTTCCTCGATCAAATGCCTGTCCAGACCTTTATGGCCCCTCCTCATCCACCCGAAATCGTCATAGAATGGGACCAGCCACGTCTGCAGAAGCATGCACCTCGCCTCTTTAGAAGCCAGCATCTGTCCCTTCCCGACACCAACAAACAACCTCGCTGTGACTCTGCTGATCTCGTACCTGTGAACAGCTGGTATTTTGGAATGTGCTTCAGAGAGTTCAGTCTGTGATGCCCATGTCTTTAGAAACTCCTCAGCTATCTGTCTGTCAATCATTATATCCAATAGCCAGTGCAAGTTATCAGCTTGTCGAGCAATTTGTGCAACATCCTTCAAGTTTCCTGATGCTGCCTGGAGAAAATGGGTATGCAGCAATTGCAAACAGCCTTCACAAGCTGCGTACAGGGACTCCTTTCTGAGACTGGTATGAGAAGCAGCACTCTCCCGAAGCATTTTGGCAACCAATCCTTTCATTTCACGCCTGGCTTTCTCGTCTTTTCCTTCCAGAACTACATGCAAGAGTTTGACAAGCACTTCTTCATTGTCACTACTCTCTTCCACTCCATTGTTGACTTCAGTGGATACTCTTTTTAGAACTTCTCCTGCCCCAACTCCTTCAAGTCGTAGCTCGGATAGAAGTGAGGCCACTTTCTCTTCTTCATCCTCTGCCCATGGAGCAGCTTCCAAGTACTCCAAACAAGATAAGACCCCCGCATCAAAACCTATAGCTGCTGAAACCTGACCATAGGGAACAAACAACCATTCATCCGTTAGGAACCCTACAGCATTGTTCACTGTTCATCCAAAAAAATCCTTTCCTCAAACTTTTACTCCACCATGAACTCATGCAATTCATATCACTAAACAAGCTCTAAAAGTGCTGAAAGTCACTATCTAATTCCAGGGTTCCTGATCAATCAAATAGATAGCAGCCAGAACACAATTTGTTCTACATTCTCCCAAGTTTAGGAAGCTAAGAAATTTACCTTCAAAATGCCAAGAACTTTGATAACGTCCTCCTTCATAAGCCTCCTTCTGAGATCTTTCGAGTACATCAACCTCAAGGTCTCAATGTAAACTTCAATATCATCACAATCCGCAATTTCCACAACATAAGGCCCCGAAGCCTTCTGCTGCTTCGCCCATCGATCCGAAAGCTTTACTGCGAAAAACCGACTGTGTGCGACCAGGATCTGCCTATGAACACTAATCGACACACTAATTCCATCCTTGGAGCTCAACGTCAGCTTGACATCGCTGGACGACGAGTCATTGAACTGGTTCCCGGGGCTCCGGTTGCCCAGAATGTCGGCGATTCGCTGCATCGCCGCGGTCTGCCGGTCCTGAACAGGCGCAGGCTGCTGCTGCTGCTGCTGGGCGGCAGTGACTTTGGGGATTGCGACATTAGGGGCGGCAATGGTGATCTGGGTCTGGGTCTTGGGCTGCTGCTGTGCGTCGTGCTCACTCGCCATCATCTCGAACAGCGTGGGGCTGGATCGGGTCATCCTGTCCGGCGGGGGAGACATCGGGTTGAGAAGACCCGCCGTGAGGGCGGTGTTGAACTTGGTGAAGCCGGAAGGGAAAGAAGATGGGGAAGAAGAGGACTCGTAGTGGCCATTGCCGTTGCCGTTGCTCAAGGGAGCTGGGGAGCCGCGGGTGAAGTCCATTGACTGGGCACCCGGGAGGGAACCGGATCTTATTGAACGGGAAATAGGAAACTGGGTCGGCCAATCGTCGGGATTGCGAGGGATTCGGCGGGAGGAGGAGCGTGAGATCTAAACTGGGAAACAATCCATGGAAGCTGAGGAGTAAGAAGCAGAAAGGAAGAGCACAACGGATAGGAGAGGGTGAGAAATGAGTAATTACCTGGAAAAGGAATGATGGGTAAACTGGAGAGGAAACGTGGAAATGGTCGTTCGGTTCGGCGAGAGGTGTTGTAACAATGGCGATAAGGGAGGGAGGGAGGGAGGGAGAGAGAGTTGGTGTGCTATCCCGAGAAGCGCAAATGGCGATAGGATTAAATATTGAGAAAGGGATGGGGAAGATAGAGAGCTGACCCAGAAGGGTTGGAATGAACGAGGAAAACAAAACGAAGGAGACCGGCGGAAATTTTTTTGTAAGGGAGAAAGGAAAGTGTGGACTGTGGAGGGTGGTTGTTTTTCAGCTGACGGAGGATTCACTTTCGATGGTCTCGCCGGCCATACATGTATGGCCTTTAGTGACATTCAATAATTATAAGAATAACAATTTCTGTAAAAGTTAAATACATGAATAAACCGCAAACAAGAGCCCTCCATAGCCCATCAAAGGCCCAATTATAGCATGTGGTATTAGGGAGTGGCAACAGGTTCGGTAAACCCGAATCGAAACTGAATTAAACCGAACCAAAATCGAAATAATGCTATTCGGTTCTGAATTCGGAAAGAAAATATGGATATTTCGGAAATCAGAGTTCTTTCAACCGAATCGAATTTTCGAATTTCCAACCAAAAACCGAAATACTATAATTGCAAGCTCCAAATGGTGAATTTTTATGTTTGTAGTTGTTTTTAAACTTAAATATTTGAAATATTTTATGACTTATGTGTTGAAAAGTTTAATTTTATCATTGATGATGCATATAATTGCATATTTATTGTTTATATTAAGGGTAAAAAATAATTTTAAAATGAGAAGATACAAGTAGCCTCACAAAGTGAAAAACCGAACCGAATTATAATTCGGTTTAAACCAAACGAACGAAATTATAATTCAGTTTAAACCAAACGAACCAAATTATAATTCGGTTCGAATTCGGTTTGAGGTTTGGGAGAATTCGGAGACCCGGTATGCCTAATTTTGGTTTAGTCGAAACCGAACCGACCGAACGCCCACCCCTATGTGGTATGGAGCTAAATGCCATTAATGTGAAGGCCCATGGTATGGTTTGCAGGTTGTCTGACCCAATTTGGACTAAGTACAATCTATTATTAAAAATTGGTGTTAAGGCATGAGATGAATGGAAGAGCCTTTAGGGCTTTTAGGCTTTGCAAAGCAATATTGTTGTTATGGTATCAAAAGTCTGGTTTCCAAACCTAGCCGCCACACTTGGCAGAAAACCAAGCTACAAACACGCAACCACAACCACAAAATGAGCAACGACAACAACAAGTTCAAGCTCAACAAATCGTCTACCAGATGGAAGATCCTTACTTCCTTCATCGATCAGAGTAGCCAGGTTTAATCTTGGTTGCAGAGAGGCTCAACACTACCAACTACAATGATTGGAGTAGAGCTATGTTCAATGCTCTAGCAACAAAGAACAAGCTCAGATTCATTAATGGAACCATACCACAACCTGCAGAAACATATCCAAAGTGCGAAGCTTGAGTCAGGAACAATGTGATGATCTTACGCTGGAACCAGCAGTTAGTCGAGGCATAGATCAGGATGACCATTCTTTCTAGCAAGTTAGTAGTTGAAGCTTGGAAAAGCTTGCAGACCAGGTATGGATCTGGTTGTATTATAAGGGTTGCAGAACCCGAAGAGACACTGTCGACCTTGAAACAAGGTAACCAAACTATTACAGATTATGGTAAAGTCATTACTCTTAGGGATGAGTTGGAGAATTATCAAGAAGGTAACCAAACTATTACAGAGTATTATGGTACAATCATTACTCTTAGGGATGAGTTGGAGAATTATCAACCATTGTTGCCTTGTGAATGTACTCCTACCAGTCACTTAGATTGTCGAGCAATGAAAGGAGTCCTAGAGTATCAGGAGACAAATTATCTGATAAAATTTCTTAAATGGCTAAATGAGAACTATTTTGGGGTTATATCTCATGTTTGTTTGGAGATGATCTACTTAATATCAACAAGGTCTTTCAGAGGATGTTACAACATGAAAGACAAATGTATGAAACTCAGACAGGGAAGGTTGTGGCCTCTGTGAACTTAGAAATGACAGCTCTTACGTGCAAGGCAACAACAGAACGCCAAACCTTAATGCAAAGAAGCCTTTCTGTACCTTATGTAAGAAAGAAGGACATACAAAAGACACTTGCTACAAAAAAAATATGGATGGCCATCTGGAATGGGGCCTAAAAAGGCTACATCAGCACCTGGAAGAGTAATATAATGCACATTTTGCAAGAAACATGGTCACACTGAGTAGGGTACCGGTATTCGGGATATACCGAATACCGTACCGAATTTGTCTATATTTGGTATTAACGAATACACGTATTATTTTGTGGGATTGGGATTGGGATTGAATTTTAATTGTTATTCGGTATTAGGGATTACGGGATTCGGATCGGTATATACCGAAATACCGATCAATACCAAAATATAAGCTAGTGTGTATTTTATCCTCTCTACTAGACTCTCTCATTCAATACTACGCGACCCTCAACCACCAAAAGTGTCATTTAATTATACATAGATCATTACATCACTATTTCAAACTAGTATTAGTCGTCTCTCAACCTCAAATTCGTCAAATTAAAGATTACTAATTACAAGAACTTGAGATGTTAGCTCTAGGCAACTCAAGACTATTTGCTTAGTCTCTTTGCCCTAAATTAAACAATAAAATCTAATTTATATATTTAATTATTAATGGCAAAGTTAATTAATTATGTATTCGATAATACCGATTGGGATACCAAGGTACCGATTGGGATACCTAAATTATTTAGGGATTGGGATTGGGATACCGAGATTATTTAGGGATTGGGATTGGGTTTGATTTTAGGGTGTAATTCGTTTTCTGGGATATCGGTATTTGGTATTGGGATACCGATACCGTACCGATTTCCACCCCTAACACTGAGGATAAGTATTTCAAGAAGAATGGGTTTCCACCAGGTTTTGTTCCCAGAAACTCTAACACCAACTATGAAAGAGGTAGAGGTTATGTTAACAATGCAGCCATTCCATAGCAGGAAGAAGTGGCCAAACTTTCCAGGTCTAACTATGAAAAGCTTATGAATCTGATGACATCACAGAAAGGACAACCATCTTATTCTGCAACATCCTTTATAAAAAAAAAGGTAACACTCCAAAATGTCTCTTGACTAAGCATGTTATGAATGCCATTTCACATCAAAAGGGTAGATGAATACTTGACACAGGTGCCTCTGACCATATAGTTTGCTCACTTGACTACCTTGAGAACTGTCTTCTCTCAGAATTGTGTCTATAACACTGCCAACTGGAGAACATATTGAAGCAATTCCCACAGGAACAACATCCTTTAATGAGAATTTGATTCTCCACGATGTCTTATATGTTCCAAATTTCCGTTCAATTTAGTTTCAGTGAGCAAACTCACCACAAGGAAATGATTGAGCTTGACTTTTCATTCTAACCTTTGTCTTATATAGGATCTGAAGCAGATGAGAGTTGCTAGTTCTGCTAGATTGACAAATGGCTTATACTACCTAGAAGTTAATAGTCCACCTAAATACATCTCATCAATCAGTTCTCCTTCCATTGATATGTGGCATTTTTGTTTAGGGCATGTTTTTCATTCTAAAATCCCACACCTCAGCCAATTTTGTACCTCCATACAAAGTCAAATAGACTTACCTTATGATGTTTGTCACTTTTCTAAGCAAAGGAGACTTTCTTTCCCTTCGAGTCATAGTGTTACTCAATATGCTTTGAACTCCTTTATGTTGACATTTGGGGTCCTAATCGTCCCTACTTATGATGGATTCAGATATTTCTTGACTATAGTGGATGACTTTTCTCGAATGAACTGGATCATTTTGCTTCAACTTAAATTTGAAGCTAGACCTAAATTAATTGCATTCTGTAACCAAATGCAAAGGCAGTTTCAAACTCTGATTAAGAAGATCAAGAGTGATAAGGGAAAGGAATTCCAAATGGAAGATTATTTTCAATCAACTGGAATTGTTCATGAGATGTCTTGCACCTCAACAGAATAGCAAAGTATAGAGGAAGCACCAACATGTTTTATCAAGATTACAATTTCAAGTTGACCTGCTAGCTAGCTTTTGGGGTGATTGTATCAAGCATGTTGTCTTTCTTATCAACAGAGTTCCTTCTACTGTTGTCAACAACAAAACACCATATGAAATTATTCATAAAACACCTCCTGACCTCACTGATTTAAAGGTGTTTGGTAGCCTGTGTTATGCCACTCTAGGGAATCACATAACCAAATTTCAACCTAGAGATAGAAAAGGGGTGTTTCTTGGTTATAATCTTACTTCCCATGATATCTTTATTTCCAGAGATGTCATTTTCTATGAGTCAGAATTTCCCTTCAAATATCTTCTCCAATTGTCACAAATCAAACTGAACCAGATTATTTGTTTCCCCTACCTACTACCCCTTGCCCTAACTTCATTGATCCCTCAAAACCTCCTTCTTCCTGTCAACTATCTCTAGTAATCCCTTCTCCCATTGTTCCTTATCCTGATCTACCCTATTCCTCTACTACAAACCTTTCCCCTTCTCTAGTTACCAACCCTCCCTATGTAGTGATTTTAGAGTTGTAAACATTATCCTATCCTAACCCATTACCATTAAGAAGATCAGGCGAAACAATCAAACCACCCACTCACTTGTCAAAGAATATCATTGTTATTTGGCCAAGCAATCTAGCTCTACCAATCCATCACATTTGCCACAGGTCCAAGACATCAAGTTTTCTCTCTCCTCTATGGTTTCCTATCAAACTTTTGCTCCTCACTACAAACAGTTTGTTCTCAATATATCCTCCCATCAAGATCCTAACATCTAAAATGAGGCTTCCCAATCTGAAGCCTGGAATGAAACTATACGCCATGAAATCAAAGCTCTCATTCAAAAACACACCTTGGATGTTGTCAATCTCCCACTGGGAAAGAAACCAATTAGGAACAAATGGGTTTATAAATCCAAGTTTGAATCAGATGGTAGTTTAGATAGGCCCAGAGTTCGTCATGTGGCTAAAGGAAATACACAACAAGAAGAGGTTGACTATCAAGATATCTTTGCTCCTGTGATTAAGATGACAACTATAAGAACTTTCCTAGCCATTGCAGCCCTACAGAACTGGCACATCCACCAACTTGACGTAACAATGCCTTCCTCCATGGGGATCTCCAGGAGGAAGTTTACATGACTCTCCCTAAAGGCTATGATCCTCCTTCAGGATTTACCAATCCAATTTGTTGCGTAAGGAAATCCCTTTATGGCTTGAAACAAGCTTCTCGTCAATGGTTATCCAAACTTACAGACAAACTCAAGACTGTTGGTTATGTTCAAAGTATGGCAGATTATTCCCTATTCTACAAGGTGACAGATTCTGGTTACACTTGCATTCTTATATATGTTGATGACCTGATTTTGGGCGGCAATGATTCACAAGAGATCAACAATTTGAAGCAATTTCTCCATCATGAATTAAACAGCAAAGACTTGGGTACTATGAAGTTTTTCTTGGGTATTGAAGTGGCAAGAAACAACAAATGAATTCACTTTTCTCAGAGAAAATATACATTGGAAATCATTGAAGAAGCAGGGTTGCATGATTCTAAATCAGTGACAACTCCGATGGATTACAAAATTCATCTAACAAGTCAGGTAGATATACCCTATGAAGATCCAGAACACTACAAGACCCTTGTTGGAAAGCTCATCTATCTTACTACTACTCGCCCTGACATAAGCTTTGCTACCAACAACTCATTCAGTTCATGTACAACCCCAACACAACCCATTACAATGCTATTCTTAGAATTTTTCGCTATTTGAAAATTGCCCCTGCTACGAGTCTTTTCTTCCCACCTCAAGGCAAATTTCAATTGAAAGTATTCGCAGATTCAGACTGGGAAGCTTGTGTCGATACTCGATGTTCTATAAAAGGTTATTGGGTTGACCTCGGAGATTGACACGCTAAAACACAACACCTAACACTGGCCAAGTGTAACCAATGAAAGGGACTGCAGTATAGGCAAGTTTAATTATCAACCCGGGGTCTAGATCTACTGCTTACTCCGTGATTCTCTATTATCTAGCAAACTAAGTCGAGTGATTGTTGTTTAAAGCAAAAGTAGTAAGAAAGCAGGAAATGGTTCGGTTTTCAAAAGCAGTTAAGAGTCACTCGGGATTGAGTCCCCCTAGCCCCTTAGTTAGGTTCAATTGCAATTCCCTGGGTTGATTTACTGTTGATTAGACTGCGGAAGATCCGACAGTAGCTTGGAATCTCTTAAGCTGACCAAGCCCTCTCAGTCTAACTACCCGGCAGACGACTAGTCTTCACCGGGATAGAAAGCTGAGGCTATAAACACAGAACTCCACTACTGGCGTTAAGAACACCAGTACAAAGCAGTAAACTGGCTAACTCTCGTATAGCCAATCTCCTACTATCGAATGAAGAGGCTCTAACAACCTAATCAGATTCTATCTATCTCAGGTTGCAGCAGAAATTGAGAAAAGCTGATCAGACTCAAATCAATTCATGAAACATGCGTCATTCGATTAAAATCAGACAATAATATCATTCCCAAGTCATTACAATCAAAACCCTAACATCAGGAACTAGGGTTCTTCATACCCAAGTGAGAGAGAGGTTCTACTCCATAGAGAGAGAAAGGAAAACAGAAATCAGAGTAGTCATACTCATAAAGATGAGGAAAATCTGCTCTGGGATGTCAATCTTCACTCCTAGGGACGCAATCCGGGCTTCAATGATGAGAAATCCACTCCAAGATAGCTCCTAGGGTTTGTTCTTCGCTCTTTCTCTCTCTAAAACTCTGTTTTTGCCCAGAAAATCCGATTCCCTCTCTTTGGCTCGAATCTGCCTTCAAAAGGGCATCATTGGCAAAACACGGTCGAGGGCACGGCCGTGTTCTGCCTCAGCCCGCCCGTGTTTTGCCTCAGCCTTAAAAGCACGGCCACGGGCAGCTCGAGAACACGGTCGTGCTCAGCCTGAAACACGGCCGTGTTTCTCCTTTAGCCCGCCCGTGTTTTTTTGAGTTGTTCACGCCTCCTTTGGAAGCCTCGGCATAAAAAGCACGGTCGCAGGAACACGGCCGTGTTCTGAGGGCCTCCTGCCCGTGTTTTGGCCTGGCTCGTCCAAACGACCTCCAAACGATCCGAAACTCGTGCTTGGCCTTCCCTTTGACGCCTAGGACCTGAAATAGGGCAAAGTAGCACAACCCGGCGTAAAATAGGCCAAAACACACAACCATGCTCCGCAAATGGATAAGAAATAGGGGTATAAAATCATGTAAATATATCGTTATCAAACTCCCCCACACTTAACCGTTTGCTTGTCCCTAAGCAAACCAAGTCAGACACCAGGTAAGCTTGAGACATTACAACCAAGCAGGCTCAAGGGCAAATCGTATCAGCACGAAACACGTGGATCATACTGGCTTTCGATCATCAACACATGGCAACTCGAACGACAACCTAGACAACCATCACAGATGACATTCGAATGCAATAGAGTCGAGCAAAGGAAAAGTTCTTTCATGTTCACCAACCAACATAGACTTGACTCAATCACTTGTTCAAAACAGTCACATCATGCACAAAGCTCAAGATATCAGAATTAAGACCGAGCAATCTAGGTCCTCACCGGGGTAAAGAGTATAGAGAAAATGAAGAAATGAATCGCTCACTCTCGACCAGTGGGGTCAGGACAATATGATGCGAAAAATGCGCATGCTTCTTCTCTCAATTCCTAACGTCTCTTCACCATGAATGCAGCCTCTAAATGCTAGAGTTCACATAAGGGGGTGTCACCACTAACTAATCCGGAGGGCTTAGACACAGGTTCAAATGACTGGCTAGGGTCTTGGACATGGGGAACAGGCCTTTTAGGTGGTGGCAGTTATAGCACAAGGTTCCACAATTCCAAACCCAACAAAACCACAATCAAGCAAACCAGTAACTTTCGTCCTACTATTCTGCATTAATCAAATTCTTTAGAGCACAAGAGCGAAGGAGGTTATACAAATGCTAGCATTTCCAGGCCAGACTGCTCAGAAACACTACTTAATGGGCACTATTCCAGATTTTTGGTGGTGGCTCTCTTTTGCTTCCATTTTTTCTTTGTTTTTCTTTATTTATTTTTTTTTCTTAAGAGAACCACCACCTCTGCACATTTTCAAACACACGCCCAAATTTTAAGCACTACCTCCAACCCTCACATTAAAATTAGCAGAACAGCAGACAGCATGCAAAAACCACTCTGTGGAACCTTCTAAAAGATGCAAAGGGTGATTTTTTCATTTCAGACCGAAAGAAAGGATAACACACGGCTCAAAGGGGCTGACTAGGGGATATGACACATCAGGACAGTCAGTTTGGTCGTGGGCTAATCCTATGCCTCCATCATCTTAGCTAGTGACAACGTGAATGCTACATTTCATGGAAGAGGGAACTATCGCACAAGAAAGAAACGAGCAGGCTCAAATCTCACATGGCTACCTAAATGCTCTATCTCACATTCTGATTCCCTGAACTAGATGCATAAATGACTGTCAAAAGCAAGTGATCAAATACAAGTCGCAGTTGGTAAGCAAACAGTCGAAAACTGAACCCCTACACAACTCTACTACACATCTCAGTCATCGTAATAGGCTATCTTAGTCACACTCAAGTTGTCATGCATCGAGTCAAAAGCCATTCAATTCTCTAATCACATCCACAATGCCAATACGATCAAATATCAAGCAAACAGCCGTGCTTGGAGCCCTCAAATCTCAAGATTTGGACAGTGGACTAGGCTCCAAGCACCCATACACCCGTTCCAAATAATACAAAGAACCCCCCCACACTTAAATGCGACAATGTCCTCAATGGAGCAGAGGGAAGGGGAACGATGTTACCGTGAAACCAGGAACGGAGATCCAAAGGCAGATCGGACAATAGTAGAGGACTGGGAGTGGACCCAGTCCGCGGCACAAAGCTAGAGTCACACAAAAGACACACTGGGTGATAGAACCGAAGTTCCGAGTCTACAATCCAAAATAAAAGAAAACAAATCCAAAAGAAACAACATAAACATGGAGGCAAAACACGGGCGGCCAAAACACGGCCGTGTTTTGGCCTTGGCCCGCCCGTGTTTTTATGGCCGAGGCCGTGCTCCCCCTCCTTAAAAACACGGGCGGGCTGGGGGTAGAACACGGCCGTGTTCTGAACCCCCTGCTGCCCGTGTTTTTATGGCCGAGCCCAGAAAGCTGATTTTCCAAATTCCAATTTCAAACCACCCAAACTCATTCGTGCCCCGGCTCGAAAATTCACCCAATGGCACATTAAAAGGCACCGCCAGAGGCACGAAATACATTCCAGACAGACTCCAGACAGACTCTATGACTCAAAAACGACAAAAATTCAAAGGAAAAGGATAGAAATGCAAACCGTGGTGGGGTTGCCTCCCCACAAGCGCTTCTTTACCGTCTTTTAGCTGGACGCCAGTATGGATGCTCAGGGAAGTGTTGGATCAGGTGCCCTCAAGAGCGGATCCACTTCGCTCTTGAGGTACAGCTTCAGATGGTGGCCATGTACACGACGAATGTGGCCACCTGCATTTGCCAGCTCGACTTGACCATCCGGTAGGATGCAAGCGAGTGAATACTCGGATGGCCAAGGTGGGGGCGGGACCAGCTCATAGTGGTCTCCGGCTTTCTTGTGAGCAGGCTTATCGGCCTGCAGTTTCGGCCGCCACTCCTCCTTGACCTGTTCTTTGGATGATGGAGTGGTCCGGAGTGGCGGCGAAGGTGTGAGAGGCGGGTCCTGCAAAACAGGCAGCACAGAAGGATACACGACAGACTCGTGCTCCTGGTGAGAGACAGCATGCAGAGGTAACGAAGCAGGTATAGTGTTAGCAACAGAAAATGTTATTCGCTCCTCGCCATCCCTCAGAACTAAGGTCCCATCATGCACATCTATGAGAGCCTTGGCGGTGGCCAGGAAAGGCCTTCCCAGTATAAGAGGCACTTCTGTGTCCTCACTGATGTCCAGGATAACAAAATCCACAGGATATGTGAATTTGCCAACCTTGACCAGAAGGTCTTCCACTATACCCCTAGGATGCACTACCGATCTGTCAGCTAATTGAAGGGTCATCCTAGTAGCACGGGGTTCACCTAGGCCTAGTTTCATGAACAATTTATATGGAATAACATTGATACTAGCACCTAAATCCGCCAAGGACTTCTCTACATGCAATTTACCGATAGAGCACGGGATAGTGAAACTACCTGGGTCCTTTTTCTTCTGCGGCAGCTTGTTCTGCAGAATAGCCGAGCACTCCTCGCTGAGCTCCACAGTGGCCAGCTCACTCAGCTTCTGCTTCTTTGAGAGAAGCTCTTTCAGAAACTTCGCATACTTAGGCATTTGCGATAGTGCCTCAAGAAAGGGCACTTGGACATTCAGCTTCTTGAGCATGGCCATGAAGTTCTCGAACTCTGTCTCCAGCCTGTCTCTGTGCAACCGAGTAGGGAAAGGGAGTTTAGGGACATACTCCTTCACTACTGGTTGCGGTTCAGGTTCAGGCACCTCAACCTCCTTCTCTACTTCGTGTTTCACCGCTGGAGATGCTACGACAGGGCTTTCTTTCTCCGGTTCCCGAGCAGGTGGGTCAACAGTCAGCTTGCCACTCCTGGTCATGATGGCATTGGCAGTCTCGTGGGGGTCGCGAGGATGAGGGATGGTCTGCGCTGGTAGAGTACCAGGCGCCCTTTGAGCCACTGCTTGGGCCACGCTCCCCAGCTGGGTCTGGATATCCTGCAAAACAGCCCGTGTATTCCTCTGACCAGCTTCCAGAGCCAGGAGTTGACCCGAGGCCTTCTCCATGAACTGCTCAAAGGTGTTGAATTTCTGAGCACTAACACTGGCGAGAGAACCCACCAAGTCCTGCAGTTCAGCCATCTTATCGTTCTGCACTGGGGCAGCAGGGGCTGCACCTGGCTGCTGGAATTGCCCCTGTCTGGGCTGATATGGTGGCCTCTGGAAGCCCGGTGGTCCCTGTGGAGCTGGTGGTCTGGGATTTGGTCCAGCCCAGGAGAAGTTAGGATGCTGGCGCCACCCCTCATTGTACGTGTTGCTGTAGGGGTCATTGCGCCTGACATTGTTGATGAAGTTCACCTGCTCCTGGGGTGTGGTCGATTCCTTCATCGCCTGGCAGTCTTCCACCATATGATGGGTGCTCTCGCACCACTGGCAGAGCATCGCCTGCTGCTGTCCGGTCCCTGGAATCATCCCGGAACGATCGATAGCTGAGACCAGCTTCGATACTACCTGCACCAAATCAGATGACTGGGTGCCCACAGCATGCACACCCCGGCCTGATGCTCTCCTCGATCTCCTGGCAGTGCCCCAATCATAACCATTCTCCGCCATCTCTTCAAAGAGTTGATTCAGCTGTGGCGGGGTTTTGGTCAGCATGTTCCCGCCACAAACCGAATCGATCAGCTGCTTGTCCTCCGGGAAGAGAGCGTGATAGAAGGTGCCCACCTTGAATGCATCATTAAAACCATGATTGGGACACCTGAGAAAAAGACTGTTGTACCTTTCCCATGCATCCCTGATGGTCTCATCCTCATCCTGAGCAAAATGTGTAATTTGCTTCTGCAGGGCAGCTGTCTTGGATGGAGGATGGTAGCGGGTGAGGAACTTGTCCGCCAGGTTGGCGAACGTGGTGATGGAGCCCGGAGGTCGAGTGTCTAGCCACTCCTTGGCCTGCCCCTCCAGAGTGAATGGGAAGTACCTCAGCTGAATGGCATCTGCTGGTACCCCATTGATCTTGATTCCATCGATGAGCTCGTGGAATCGCCTGAGATGTGATCGAGGGCACTCTCCCTCCTTGCCACGGAACACCACTGAACCGCGCAGCATGGTGATCACTGAGGTGCTCACCTCAAAGTTGTTGGCTGGGACATGAGGGTGCTGAATGGGTGACCTCATGTCCGCAGCCCTAGCGGCCCAGTAGGATCCCATGGTCTGCTCCTCGGGGATCACATCGTGATTCTGCGGATCACCCATCTCGCCTTCTTCTTCTTCTCCGATCTGTAGCTGTGTGAGCGCTTCCTCCGCAGCCAGTCGCGCCTTTAGAGCCCGCTTGAAGTTCCTACAAGTTCGTTCAAGCTCCTGGTCTAATGGTAGTAGATCTCCCGACTGGCTACGGGTCATGCACTACCTGCACACACTCAGAAGAAACAACCCGTGAAGGCACACAGGTGGAAGAAAGAAAATGCAGAAAATAAAAGCTAGAGTAACAAATTCTCACGTTTCCCCAATAACCTAGAGGTTCCCCGGCAACGGCGCCAAAAACTTGACACGCTAAAACACAACACCTAACACTGGCCAAGTGTAACCAATGAAAGGGACTGCAGTATAGGCAAGTTTAATTATCAACCCGGGGTCTAGATCTACTGCTTACTCCGTGATTCTCTATTATCTAGCAAACTAAGTCGAGTGATTGTTGTTTAAAGCAAAAGTAGTAAGAAAGCAGGAAATGGTTCGGTTTTCAAAAGCAGTTAAGAGTCACTCGGGATTGAGTCCCCCTAGCCCCTTAGTTAGGTTCAATTGCAATTCCCTGGGTTGATTTACTGTTGATTAGACTGCGGAAGATCCGACAGTAGCTTGGAATCTCTTAAGCTGACCAAGCCCTCTCAGTCTAACTACCCGGCAGACGACTAGTCTTCACCGGGATAGAAAGCTGAGGCTATAAACACAGAACTCCACTACTGGCGTTAAGAACACCAGTACAAAGCAGTAAACTGGCTAACTCTCGTATAGCCAATCTCCTACTATCGAATGAAGAGGCTCTAACAACCTAATCAGATTCTATCTATCTCAGGTTGCAGCAGAAATTGAGAAAAGCTGATCAGACTCAAATCAATTCATGAAACATGCGTCATTCGATTAAAATCAGACAATAATATCATTCCCAAGTCATTACAATCAAAACCCTAACATCAGGAACTAGGGTTCTTCATACCCAAGTGAGAGAGAGGTTCTACTCCATAGAGAGAGAAAGGAAAACAGAAATCAGAGTAGTCATACTCATAAAGATGAGGAAAATCTGCTCTGGGATGTCAATCTTCACTCCTAGGGACGCAATCCGGGCTTCAATGATGAGAAATCCACTCCAAGATAGCTCCTAGGGTTTGTTCTTCGCTCTTTCTCTCTCTAAAACTCTGTTTTTGCCCAGAAAATCCGATTCCCTCTCTTTGGCTCGAATCTGCCTTCAAAAGGGCATCATTGGCAAAACACGGTCGAGGGCACGGCCGTGTTCTGCCTCAGCCCGCCCGTGTTTTGCCTCAGCCTTAAAAGCACGGCCACGGGCAGCTCGAGAACACGGTCGTGCTCAGCCTGAAACACGGCCGTGTTTCTCCTTTAGCCCGCCCGTGTTTTTTTGAGTTGTTCACGCCTCCTTTGGAAGCCTCGGCATAAAAAGCACGGTCGCAGGAACACGGCCGTGTTCTGAGGGCCTCCTGCCCGTGTTTTGGCCTGGCTCGTCCAAACGACCTCCAAACGATCCGAAACTCGTGCTTGGCCTTCCCTTTGACGCCTAGGACCTGAAATAGGGCAAAGTAGCACAACCCGGCGTAAAATAGGCCAAAACACACAACCATGCTCCGCAAATGGATAAGAAATAGGGGTATAAAATCATGTAAATATATCGTTATCAGAGATTCTCTTATATCCTAGAAGAGCAAGAAACAAAAGACCGTGTCACGCTCCTCTTGCGAAGTAAAGTATCGCGCTCTGGCCTACAAGACTTGTGAAGTTCAATGGCTTCTCTATCTCTTTCGTGATTTCCAATTTGATCATCCTTAACCGGTCACCATTTTCTGCGATAGCCAGAGCACGATCTACATAGCGAACAATCCCACTTTTCATGAAAGGACCAAGCACATCGAACTTTATTGTCATCTTGTTTCGTGAAAAGCTTCAATTTGGTATCGTCAAATTGCTCCATGTCTCCTCCAATCATCAGTTGGCCGATCTCTTCACCAAACCCTTGTCTCCAGCACCTTTTCTCCAGGCTTGGTGTGCATAATCTATGCCCACCAGCTTGCGACCGGGGGGGGGGGGTGTAACAAGCATTCCTAATTTCAATTTCAACGACTATTTGCTAAAGGAGGAAGAAGAAGATCACTCTGACGTCGTTTCCGTGAAGAATTTAGTCACTTACCAGAACATTACCATTTTCACTTCACTCGCAAGACATAAACCTTTAATCCTGAATGTCGTCGTTTACTTGTTTCTCGTTTTGTTCTATGTAGGAGATGAACGAAAGAGCCTTCAGGGCTTTTAAAGTTTACAAAGCAACATTGTTATTACTTAATTCACTAGGTTTGCACTCCGCCCTCCCCAATCTCTGGTTAGGGGAACCACTAATTTCTTCTCTCTGGCAACCACATCTCCACCTCCTTCCCTCTATAACCTCAACTTCGTCTTCTTCGAGCATCGCATATCTCACGTCGACGACAATACCCTTCCGTCGACAAATGCCTTGTTGATCTAATCCCATATGAAATAGTTAACTGCAAGAAGTTTGAGATGCTCGACCTCTCTAGCAATCAATACTCTGGAAATTTCCCACCATGTGTTACAAATTAGTGATTTTTAATAAATCGGAGGGAAGCAAATGCAGAAGCTAAGATGGTGAAGGATGTTTAGATCAAAGGTTGGCTGGAGTAGAAGGAGGAGGAGAAGGAGGAGAGGGAGAGGCGGCATAGGCGTTATCGGAGGGAAATGAATTGGCGAGACTAGTTAGGGGTATGGGTGTGGAGGAAGGAGGAGAGGGACGAGCAGGGGCGGCAACAATGATTCACGGGAGGAGCGGACGGTGGCGACAATCATTCGTGAGGAAACGACAACTAACTCCTGTACCATGAGGAAGATGAGAAGCGGAATCGACGATGAGTAGAAGCTTGATATTGGAGGGTTGTCGAGAGAGTTTTCTATTTTCTATTTGTATTTTAATAATTTTTTTCAGTTGTATGCACATGGTAACTTGGTAAATGGGAAGTGGCTAGACTTTAAAATTTACTTAAAAGAATTTTTATTTACAAATTAAATTTAAAATTTCACATCAGATGTCCCATTAACGCTGACTAAATTTTATGTTAAATTAAATATTAGCGATCAACGCTGGTCAACACTAAAGAAAAATAGTTCAAGACATAAACGGAATATTGAATAAAATAGGATACAAGTGGCATTTTTTGGATAGTTCGGTTATTATAATGATATTAGCCCAAACTTAATAGAGAAATGTTTCCATTTAAATAACAACAAAAAAGTGCATCATAACCCACATTATCAATCATGGGAGGCCAAAATATTTCGAAATGTCGCGAAATGTCCAATTATATGAACAATATGCTCTCAATAATAATAGAAAAATGGAACTTCTTATACAGATGCAATGCCCCTTAGCTATGCATAATCTGCGCCTCCATAAATTTGTACATCATGATTTTGAATTTGATAAATAAATGAATTGTACTTATATTCCTCGTCCAGATGTTCCTCCGACATAGTAATCGATGCCACCAAGTCCGCTAGCAATCTAGCATCATAGTTTTGGTACCCCTAACCCCGCTTTATTAATAATGGGTTTACACTAGTAGCACAAATAAGTGTTTATAGTAACAAAACATACTTAGATACAAACATTTACAAAGTTAATACAAAAAGCCAATGTGACACAACAAATGTTTTAACCGCAATGACCAACAAGTTCCTTGGTGTCTCACTCTACTCTTTAAATCTTGATTCTTTCTTCTCGAATGAATAGTCATAAAATGTCTATATTTTTTTATCCACCTTCTTCTTTTTCCCCTTCCTTCTGCCTTTCCCTTCTATGTTCTCTTCATGAGTACCTTTTGCCACCTTTTTTCCTTGTCTTCTTGACTTGTCGGGCCTCAATCCTTTGTGCCTATGGATTTCCTCTATGCTCTCATGTTTCCCCATCGCAAGAACATCCTTGTAACTTCCTTTGATCACATTGGACGAGCTGGTTCCTGGAATTCCTGCCACATTATGTTCATTTCGAAAAGGGGCAAAAATTTTGCGGCCTGATTTGAACTGACTGCAATCTGAATCCATGGTTGTCTCATCGGTCTCTGAAACAAGCGTTGACCCATTGCTTGTTACCGATTGATCAATTTCTGATTCATTCCAGGGAATCATCTGATCACCATTTTCTTGAGTCATCGGGAGTGTTGGATTATCAGTCGTCGCTTGTTCGATTTTGAAGCCATTCAAATAAGATGTCAAATCACCAGTCACTTGAGTTGAAATCCCTTGTTTTCCATTGCTTGTTAGTCCAAGTTGTTTTACTGTTCCTTCAGCCATTCGTGGATGATCGTCATGCGATTTTTTATCGGTGTCGGGAACAAAATTATTGTTTTCATTATTCTTTTGAATAATTATCTCATCATTTCTTGTGTATGATGCCTGATGGTCATATCCATTTTCGTCCATTGATCCATTTGATGTAAATGTTTGATCATCAATGCCTTCAACTGTAATTTTTGGTTTTTCATTGCTGGTCAATATATGTTTCTTTGTTCCTTCCGTTGCTTTGGAGTCATTGCTAGTCAATATCTTGTCTATTCTTTGAATGTTGTCATTGTTTTGAGCAGTATCCTCAACAATTTGCTCGTCATTGGTTGTCAGAAACGTTTGATGAACCGACTCTTGTATGATCGTCGGTCCATCTACTTTAAATGTTTGATCATCAATGTCTCGATAAGAGATTTTCACTAGCTCGTCATTTCTTGTTGATTCACTTTCTTTTGTTTCTTCGTCTGCTTTGGAGTCAATGTTAGTGTATTTTTCATCGACTCCTAGAGAATCATCGTTCTTTTCATTTCTACCATGAACTTCCATTACTTCATTGCCTGCCAAGATTGTCAGACGATCAGCCTCCTGTTGGACCATTAATCTGTCTATCATAACTGTCTGAACGTCATTGTGTTGAGTGATAATTTTCGATTTTCCTTCAACCATTTCAGGGTTGTTGCTAGTCAACTTCTTATTGGTGATTGCTTGCTTCGTGGCCAATAGTTGATCACTCGGATTCAACCCGTCTTTACTTGTTATGATTTGAACATCCATCTTCTTTGTCTTCTTCCTCCTCCTTTTGCCCATTAATCCCTCGTTGCTAGGTTTGTTGACACCAGCCACATTGATATCCTTATCCTTCACACCCACTATACCAAAATTACTCATTACAGTTATCAGGAATCTCAACCAATAAATAGAACGGACTAATGCCCAATCCAGAAATGGAACTTGATGAACCAAAGTCGGGAATTTTTTGATTGTATCATCTAGCTTCTCGGGGAGACCCTCTGCCGATTTAACAAGCTCATCGATCCCGTCGAAAAATTGCTTCAATGGTGGGAAAAAGAACTCGGCCAAGCTTTCTATCCTTAAAATCCCGTCATCCAAAATTGCCAAAATTGCAAGAATCTTACATTGCAAGGCGCAAATTACTGAAGGAGAAGCAAAATTGACCAGATTCTCGCCATTATAGTTTCTGGATGCTGTTGTGTAGGCTTTGCTAGAAATTTCCAAGAGGGCAATCCAACAGGTCTGCAATGGTCGTTGTCTCGAATCCATTTCAGATCAATAAAATTTGAAACAAAGAAAAGGAATTTGCAAGAACCCTAAATTTTATTCCTTCCAATGATCAGAGAAAATATATTAGTTTAAGCTTGTTTGATTCCAGGGCATTAGAAAAATTTTACCCTGGAAGAAAGAAGCTAAAACTCTCTCTCAGATCATGGAAAAGATCACAATTTTTTGTAGTAAGAGAATAGAAATGCTGCAGCCTTCTCACCAGATTTTTATTTTCCATTATAAAAGGGATTTTGGAGGTAAAAAAAAAATAACGATAGCCATGAAATTAGCAGGGGGCCATTCTTGGCCCAAAAGAACTCATGACATCAACGATTACCCACCTGTCCGATTCTTTCACTCATTTTTTCTATTCACCACTGATAATTTTAGGTTCAAAAGGTAGAGTTACCAAAAGAAGAGAATTTGCCGAAAAGTTGTAGGCGTCCATGATTTGAATTTGATTCTCAGAATCTCACCACCATTGTCCATTGCCAATAATATTTTGTTTTGACTTTACAATAAAAGGGAGCGCGATTTTATGGAGTTATATGAGCTTTGTACTTCTGATCATTCTTTTTGGAAATGAATCAAAAGAAGATGACCTTCGAGATGCCCATTGTCGGAATCCTTGGTTGAAAAGAAAATGGGTGGGAAGGGGGAGAAGAAGAAAAGGAAAGTGGGTTTTTTTTTTTTTTATCTAAGTGATATCAATTGAGGAAAATAGTTAAACTTACAATTCTACCCAGGACCCCTAAAAGACTCTAAAGAAGCCACCCAAAAAATCAAAAGATTCTACCTCTAAACGAGACAAAGCAGTGCTTTACGCGCCACTCTATGGGCAGCACTGTTGGCAGATCTAGGAACCGCCATAAACTCTATACAAACAGACAAAGAGCTAAGGATCTGAAGACACTCTCGTAACACCGGACCACCAATCGAGTCTTCTATGACGCCTTGACGAACTTGTTTGACGACCACTTCGGAATCACCTTCGACTATTACGCGGGTCAAGGATCTTGAGGCTACGATGGAGATAGCATCTCTGAAGGCTAGAAGCTCTGCCAGGTAAGGATTGACTATTACTTGATGCTGCAGCCCGAACGCCAACACCACATGCCCGTCTGACCCACGGATAACAAGCCCAGACAAACACCCAATGGCACAACCAGCAGCGTCAAAGTTTATCTTCAAAAAGACTTCTGGCGGAGGGACCCAAGAGGTGGCATGTTGGTTTGAGAGTAGAGAACTGCGGGGGTGGAGGAGGAAGGAGAAGATAGGAGACTTCGAGGACCTGGTTGAAGAACTGGCTGGCTAGGGAACGGACATGAGGTTGGTAAAATTCGAAGGTCACTTTATTTCTAGACTTCCAGATTCTCCAAAGTAAACAGACGCATTGGAGAATGTGGAATGGGGCGGTCTCAGAGACCATGACATGTCGCCACCATAGACTAAAATTAGCAGTCTGGGCGGTCTCAATAAAGTTGCTCAATCCCACTAAAGTCCACAATCTAATGGCTAGGGGGCATATGAAGGAATGTTCAATGCTTTCTCGATGTCTTGAGAAAGCAATTTACTTCAGCAAATTGAAGACCCACCATAGTTTGCAATGTCGTTTAACATAATACAAATACAATTTAAAATAATACAAACCATTCTTAGTGGAAACCCATATCCGCTAATCACTCACTCTTCAACTTTGTTGTGGTTTATTAACCCTAATTAATTTTTCTTAACAAAAAATATTTGTCATACCATTTGGCAAAAACCCAAAAATTGAGTTTTAGAATTCACATTCTACTGCCGATGGGCCTCAAATTAAAATGAATTGAAGGAAATGCCATCGATTCTAATAATTTGAGCTAATGGCTCATTAAGTTAATTGTTGACTAAACACAAAAAAATCGGAATTAATTAATGGTGTTTTTAACCACAGCCCGAAATAATGGGCGTCTTTCAATCCGACGATTAAATGCTCTTAAAGTCCCAAAGAGAATAATTGAGTTGACCCATATGTATGGGGAATTACTACCCCTAATAAAATCAAATAAATGATTGTTCAAAAGCCCATAATGGAGCTTAACAACTCATGTCATCCGAAACGGACGAAGCATCCAATAAATGGTGTTTAAATTCTCACTGAAGGGACATTTATTGCTGGTTCGGTCGGACAAAGCGAGTCGCCGGAGGTTCCTCGGCTTGCAACCACCAAAATGGATACATAGCAGAAAAGGTTTAACGTACAATCTCGCCGGTGTTTCCAGCCGGAATGGCCGTTTTCACACGTATCTGTTCCAAGATGGAACGAAGCCGATGAACTTCATCGTACAATCCAGAGGGTGGATCAAAAATCACATTCCCCAAATTTCAACAACCGATTGAACCCAATCGTTACTCTCAGACTTGAGAGCTGATTTTAGTGATTACTGAAACGTAACCTATCTCATTCGGATGTTCACATCAGAAATCAAACACAATGTACACAACAAAGTGCCACATCTAAACTCTAAACTTTACAAAAAGCAGAGCAGGGAAAACGTAAAGGGAAACAGAGCAAAACAACGGTCACAAAGAATCCAAATCCAGGTCCATAATGAAAGCCTATCCGATCAAGGATTGGTATCACCGGCCACAGGCCGTATCGACGAGAAACCGTCGTGTACTCACCACATAGTTGGTGGATTCCTGTTCCCACATAATCAACATTATCCTCGGAATTTGGCGATTATCAGTTACTCGATTGTTGCTTTTAGAAATCTGCTTTTGCTCCCTACCATATAACCCTAATCGATGGCTCAGATCTGGTGTTGATGTGGCTGACATCTGCGGCGACACCGGGGGTATTGGCGATATCGTAAAGGGCGAGGTTGGAGACGAGAGGGTTGAGCTTCATGAGCAGGGAGAGCGGCTGGCCGATACCTCCAGCTGCGCCGAGGATGGCGACCTTGCGGTCGGGAACGGACTCCGAAGAGTAGCCGCGGCGGAGGACGGATGATCGGGAGGCCGTGGTGGCCAGGGTTCTCGAAAAGCCTGTTTGGTTACTTTGAACATTTTCGCGAAATGTATTATAGCCTGGTTTGCCATGTCAACTAGTTGGAAAATGCACAAACTTGAAACCATCCCGCTTGGTAACCACTAGGTTTAGTTTCACACCATTGATATGTATTATAAAAGTGACAAGCTTGGTTACTGCTTTTGAAATTTGTTGCCCATTTCAATCTCTCTATAGTTTGTTTGTGAAAATCGACATGTTTCATTGATGATAAATATTGTTTGGATTTCGACTTTTTTTGCCTATTTTGGTTGATCAAGAGGATTGAGATGGTTCTTATCAGTTTCTACTTCTGTTAGGGATGAGAGTATGGGCTTTTTTTGTTTTTCGGTAGGAACATTTCTTGCTCATGACTGATAGTGGCTCAAGTTCATTTTTGGAGCTGTTGAAGAGTTCCATGTCGAATTCTTCAAAAGTCTAATGAGATTATTGAAATGGCTGACTTTCTATCTTTCTTTTGCTTATTTGATTGTTTCTAGAATCAAAGTTCAATCTTTGGGATAGGAAATTGAGTTTTACTTCTCGTTGGTGGTGGGTTATACATTGCTTTGGGGATCTTCCTCAGTTTAGGAAATTGAGATGTTCCTTATCATTTTGGCTACGCACTAGGAATATCTCAACGTAAATTTAGCTTATTTGATTGTTTTTTGGACGTAAAGTTAAAGAAGGGTGAGAACAAGTGCGGGTTCATCCGCAACCGCTACAATGGTGTGTGTATCAGCTTGGCGTATGAAACCAACCACTCCGGGGAGTGCAACCAGCAGTGTTCCCTTATAGTACTTGTTGGCGACATTGATCCTTCCCTTCCTTCTAGGGTTGGCGGTGTTAGGATATGACTTAAATTTGATTTGGGTCCTCGTAACCCTAAAAAAATGGGACGGGTATGAGTATACCCAAATACTCGTTTCACGTTGCCCACCCCTACTTCTTCCCCAATCTTTCCTTTATTTTCTTCACTTCACATTCCAAGTTTCCACCAGAGTTAGATATGCCAAAATCTTGAGTCCATCGAATTCAAATTTCTCTCGCGCGTTGGAGCCGAAAGTATCTCCATTTATGAGATTTCTTTGTCCCCTTTCTTTCAATCTCCTACAAATAGATCAGGGGGTTGTGTATTTTCATAGAGGATACCGGTAGAGGAAGCATTAACAAAGCAGTTCTGGTCGGGGAGAGCATCGACAAAGGCAGGATGTCAAGGGTCGCGCGCGACTCTTCTTCTACTGTGATTTTTTTAATTGGATGGGTTGCTATGAATTGGCTGGCCAGTTCGAGCAATCTGAGTGGTTAACTGTTTGAATAGCTAGCCGACCAACCAGTTTGAAGATGCCCAATTTTTAGCTATTCCAAACCGAACTAGTGGTGGGGTCCCGATTTTACCGGTTCGACTCAATTATAATAACATTAGGAGAAACTAATGATGAAGTGATACGGGTGGAAGGAAAGACATTTGTCGTGGGCGGCTAAGGAGACACTGCTCAAGGCAATGGCGACTACTTTATTTGTGCATATCATGTCTTATTTATGTTACCTCTGACGATGTGTCGACATTTGGATAAGCATATGACTCGGTTCTGGTGGGGTTACCCGAACGAGAATGTTAACTTGCTCTTGATATCCTAGAGGTGCATTTGTCGAAACATGATGGAGGATCCTTATGGAACTAGAGCCCCTACTAGCCCAAATTTATTAGGGAAAGTATTTTCCTAATGACACTGTCTTAACATCCGGAATGGGTTCTTGTCCATCGTGGGGTTGGAAGAGTGTCTTGCATTATTTAGCAATCTTGAAAGAAGGATTGTGTTGGTAGGTCGGTTCTAGGAAGTCTATTCGATCCTATTTGGGTGGTGGATACCCCTGATGTATCCAGAAGATCTTGAAATTCAACATGGGGTCCATCTAATGGTTGTGACAAGGTTTCCATGATAAGGGATCATGAGAAAGGTGGTTGGTG